GGCTGTATTAAAGTGTTTAATGTCTATTTCCTATACATTTTTCATATCAATCTAATTATAATTTTATGCATTTCCCACTGGCAGGTGAACGCTCGATGATTCTGTGCATCTTAGGGACTGAGGCATGTAGGCAAGTGCTAGTACACCATGTGACCTGAAAGGCCACTTGTTTATTTCTCCCACCAGCAGATTAGATGGTATTCCTTGTCACAGGATATGTGTCTTTGATCGCTTATCTGACAGCGTGTCTTCTTAACAGTGAGCACCTGTATTGCAGTGAAGGTTACATTAGTTACATTACCTCTGGAAAGGAAATGACTGACTTTGACTCAACTGTACATACATCCATCTCACCCTGTAGTAGCCAAGAGCGTGGCAGAGACTCTAAGTACGAGGGGCTTCCTCGGTGGCTCAGCAGTGAACAGTCCACCTGCAATGCAGGAAATGCAGGAGACGCTGGTTCCCTCCCTGGGTCAGGGAGACAGCCCGGAGAAGGGAATGGCAACCCACTCCAGTATTCTTGCTTGGGAATTCCATGGACAGAGGAGCCTGGCGGGAGACAGAGTCAGACACAACTGAGCAACTCACACTATGTCCAAAGCGGAAGACTGTCAAGCCCACCTGGAGAGGTTGGCTTCACCAGAAGCAGACTCAGAGAAGTAATATGTGAAGTAAATGCTTAGTAGGGATCAATACCTGTGAAAGGAAGAAGCTGACTCGGATGTAACTGATAGCTGGAGGCTACCAGCTGACTCTGTTTTTTCTTTGTTTTTTTTTTTTCCTTTTTTTGTTTTTTGCAGTGGTAGGGGGAAGACTTTTTTTTTTTTTTTCTCATTCCGGGATATATTTTCAGATTGTTTTGTTGTCATGCAAACTTTTGTCAAAGTTTGCTGTCAAAAAGGATTCCTTTTTGCACGTTGGGGAGGATTGCAGATTGCTTATTTTCCACCAAAAGAAAAATGAAGAATTTGAGTCACTATAAGTATACAAAAAAGTTTAAATTAGAATTGGAAAGATAATTTTTTCTCATATTTGTTTATGAGTAAATATGTACATTGTCTCACAATTGATTGTCCAGGGAACCCAAATTACCTTAGCTGTGTGCAGCATGTCATCCAAGCCTAATCTCCTCAAAATTCCTTTGTTGATTGAGTGAGAGAAAGAAAGAGTGGGTGAAAGGCTACGAAAGCTTGTGTTAATTAAGATATGTCCCCCACTGGTAGAAAATCATGGTCAGACATTATCACATCATTAGTCAGCTCATCAAAATATCACTTTGCAGAAAATCCTCTAGTTCTTTTCAGTGGCTTTAATGAAATTGTTCTAAGAAGCCCTGTGAAGGAACTGAGCTCTAGTTTTTGGATAATGGCCATTTTCTTAAGAAATAGACTTTGGGCCTACTGAGAAAGCAGTTCAGCTGGTATGATATTTTGCTCCAAGGGAAGAAGTATTATTTTAAAATTTTTGCTATTTAAGCAAAGCAACATGAGTTTATTTTTGTCTTTTCCTTAGCATTAGATAAATGATGGAATACTAATTAAATAGTTGAAATCTAGGAGACTAAAGAAGCTTCAGTGTAAGCATTAGAAACAATTTTTCATATACTTGAACTTTTCTGAGGACAACTATCATTTATTTTTATTCTCATAAAGGAATATTGTCATCATACTTTTATGGGGAAAAGTTAATTATTCACATTTGGAATTTATACATATAGTGATAAAAATAGAAATTTTAAAAGGATAATTTTCAGGTACTGCATATATTTTCTATTTGTGTGTATATGAATTTTTTTGACCTAGTTACTCAAGGATCTGCATGTTCACTTGGTATCCCTTACATTTATGATACTCAGATTAAAGGGTGCTTCAGATATAGGAATATTAACTATAGACTTCATAATTTGGGTAGCTTTATGAATGATCTCTTATATGCTACTTGTGCTGTGTATCTAGGGTGGTGATTTTCTGGTTTTTTTTCATTCTATTAATCTAATGTCATATCCAGACATGTTCTTCCAGATTTATAATCAAATGGGCTTTGTGCTTATGTAAATAAGGATAATCTATAGCTGTATTATATTATACTTCTTTGTATTAATTATGTTTTTATTTCTTTGCATTTAACTCAGCTGGGGAATCACTCAGCAAACTTTAAGTTATATTAGTTTTTAGCAGCCAAGAATATATCATACTTAACATTGTTGTTTGAACAATTCTTCACTTGATGTGTAAAGTTCATGTCTGCTGTTGGGTTTTGATTTTATTTTTCAAGATCTATTTTAGGAAAGGCATAATTGGAGGGCAAAAAACACTGCAAATCATTCATTAAATGGGATGCTACATAAATTGAGTAGTAGACTGAAAAGCAAAGGTCATGTCATCAGAAAAATTTAGTAGTCATTTCACTGAAATAACCACTGATTTTGTTGATAAAGATGGTAGCATATCAGTTAATGATAAGCTTTAATTTAAAAATATATAAACTCAAAGAGTAAGTGTACCTGAAGAAGAAAAATAAAGTATGCTTTCTTGGATCTGTGGTCTATAGGGTTATAGCTGCCTCTGTTTGAATTTTCTTAGCTCCTCCCCAAGTGTATTATAAGAACTGTCAGAGCAGTGGAAACAAAATGCAGAGTAGAAGTCACATCTGATTCCATATATTTTAATAAATATGAAGATATAATCCATATCCTGCTTCTTAGCCATACTTGGTAACCGCTGCTCACATACGTTTACAAATGTTTATTCATTTCTCACAAATGTTTACCATCGAGTTATTTAGTAGCCTGGAAACATTGACTGTCATCAATTGTCAATTTTAAGCACTTTGTTGAAATTGCTCACCTTCAGTTAGTGATAGATTTACTGCAGTGTGGAGTTTCAGCTTTGTACTCTGTCTTGGCCTGATGGTGTGACTCTGTCAAGGCTAGAGAAGAGGTCTCTGGCTTTTTATGATTGATCGATGATGACCAATGCAGCTCTTCAAAAAAACATTAAGATTAACATGAACAAATAATTTTATGTATCCAGTAAAAATGGAAGTTGAAAATAGCCTTCCAACTAATATATGTCCAACAACTTAATATATATCAAGTAATGTTCTGTATTCTGGTGGTACAATACCCAAGCAAAGTAATGTCTCTGCTTTTTAATATGCTGTCTAGGTTGGTCATAGCTTTTCTTCCAGAGTAAGCGTCTTTTAATTTCAAGGGTGGATAGACAAATATATATACTAATAAAAATGTAATGTGATAGATTCCATGAGCATGTAAGCAGAGTGTCCTATGAGTACCCAGTAGGGCCATCTGTTCCAGATTTGGCAGAAAGAGAGAAAGAGGAGGGATCAAGAAAGTCTTCCCTGTGGATGACTCTAGAGATAATGACCATCTAATCCTAGAAATGTGGGATCAGTATTAGAGTGATAGGTTACTCTATCAGTACAGATAGCTCTTTGTTATAAATGTTTCTTAAGATGGAACTGACGAATCTTCTTTTCTCTGCCCTCTTTTATTTCCTTCTCTTCTTTTCTGTTTCCTTTCTCTCTACCTGTCTCTTTCTCTTCCTCTTTGTTTTCCTCCCTTTCTCCCTCTTTCCTTTATTATGAATTCATGAGCACAGAAATATATTAATCACATTCTTGGTTCATGACCCAGTGTTGTCACTGGATAATTCCTGGCTCTCATTCATTCATTCACTGATTTATGATGCGATAACAAATACATATGGCATTATTAACAACTGCATACACTTATCTTTTTGCTTCCTCCTATTTCTTCCCCTTACTCCTCCTAAGATGTAATCATTATACAAAATTGGGTATATTATACCTTTTTTTCCAAGATTTGCCAGGTTTGCTTTGTTGGGTAACATATCCAAACAACACATTGCTTAGTTATTTTTAACTCAAAAAATAATATTCTTCTGTGTGTAATCTGCTGATACTATTTTTCACTCAAGATCCTACTAATATGATTTACTGTGCTTTTATTTGTAACTGAATTCATTGTCTTATTTCAAAGAATATTCCATTATGTGAATATGCTACAAATTATCCTTCTGTTCATAAACAATTGAGTTGTTTCCATTTATGGTGTCTTGAACAGAGCTGCCATGAATGTTCTTTTTCTTGCTGTCTGAGACATATTTGAAAGTTTCTGCAGAATATTTACCAGGCTAATAGGTTGGCTTAAAGCTCAACATTCAGAAAACTAAGATCATGGCATCTGGTGCCATTACTTCATGGCAAATAGGTGGAGAAACAGTGGCTGACTTTGTTTTTCGGGGCTCCAAAATCACTGTAGATGGTGATTGCAGCCATGAGATTAAAAGACGCTTACTCCTTGGAAGGAAAGTTATGACCAACCTAGATAGCAACGTGCTACGATTCATGGGGTCGCAATGAGTCGGAGACGACTGAGCGACTGAACTGAACTGACCTGAATAGGTTATGCAAAATTTAAGCTTAAAAGATAACACCAATATGTTTTCCAAAACTATTGCATCAACTTGCATATCCACCAGAAATATATAAGAGCTTATGTTGATACAGTCCTAACATTTGGTCCTGTGAGATGAATTTCTATCAATTGAATGCCACACAATGTGAATGCTCTCTTATGGTGTATGGTTTTAATTCTCATTTCCGAGGTTACTAATGAATTTGTACATCTCTTTGTATATTTTATTAGTCATATATAATAAATAATCTTTATTTTATAAAGGTTATTTAACCTTTCAATTATAAAATTTTAGTACTAGTTTATACTAATGAATACTTGCTATATTTATATGCACAGTTGTTATGATATCTTATTCAGAAAAATATGCAATCATTAAAGTGAAATAAAGACCTATTTTTAGTAGTACATAAAATGGTGAGTAAATTTCTAATACAAGAAATGAAGTCAGAATGGCAAATTAAAGAATAGGAAATAATTTTATTTTGAAATTATTTTATGACTTTTTTTCATAACTTGATGTTTATTTTTCTTTTGACAGAACGATTTCGAGACTTACTACTTCCACCATCTAGTCAAGACTCCGAGATTCTGCCCTTCATTCAATCTAGAAATTATCCCAAGTAAGTACAATAAGAGCCCCCTAGATATTGTGAAGGGAATGGGTATAATGATGGGCAAGCTTTGGGAGGGCAAAAACAAAATGGTTCCTTTTTTAGGGTTTCTGAAAAATAACCTAACCTAACTAACGAGGACATTCTCCAGCACTGTAATGTCTCAGGGTCTTCACAGGTGGGTCAGAGAAAAAAGCTTGCTGCCCATGTATCCCAGCTGTGGTTGGGAGCTGTTGCCAAGTGCACGCCACAAGGGATCTGCATCAGTGTCTGCTTGTGTTTCCTTTTGCTTGATGCTGTACCAACAGAGTCAGATAGTTTGGAATGATCCCTCATCTGGTTTCTGTGTCAACAGAGTTAGATACTTTGTGGATAGTCCCTCATCAGTTTCCTGTTTTCTATCTATTAATGTAATGATTTATTTACATTTAATAAATGGTTTTTAAAATGAAACATGCTAGATATTATTTTTAAAATTTCTATATATTCTTTGGGGCTTCCCCGGTGGCTCAGACAATAAAGCGTCTGCCTGTGATGTGGGAGACCCAGGTTTTATCCCTGGGTCGGGAAGGTCCCCTGGAGAAGGAAATGGCAACCCACTCCAGTATTCTGGCCTGGAAAATTCCATGGATGGAGGAGCCTGGTAGGCTACAGTCCATGAGGTCACAAAGAGTTGGACACGACTGAGTGACATCTTGGTAATTCTTTCTTAAATGGGTCAGACTTTTTCTTAATGTGCCTCATCTTCCCAGAGAATAAAGTACCGGTTTTTATTTTGTTTCCTCCCTAAAAGCCGATGTGTGATGGCATCTTGATCCTTCCTGCGGAAGCTTGCAGTACCCTCTAATTTTTTAATAATCTGACTCTCTTTACTAGCTAGTATGCAACAGGCTAAGAATCAACAAACTATTATCTGAACTAAAAAAAAAAAGTCACCAAGTTAAAGAATTAGAGCTTGGTTTGCACATATTTAATCAAACCTCATGACGATGCTAAGTGATTCATTCTTTGATCAGCTTGGCAGTTTATTCAAGAATTTGCTGAACTTCACCTTTAGGATACTTTTTCCCCGTTTACTTAGATATGATAATATTTACTTAATTCTGATCACAAAATAAATGTAGAATCTGAATTATTGTTTCATTGTTTCAGATATTAATTCAGGTTTAATCTCTGGGAGTAATCTTCCAATCTCCTCCCAGTACACACGGGGACATACATGTGCCTGGACAAGCCTTGCATGGGCACACTGCTCTTCACGTGCATGTTGGCAGGAGCAGGGAGATGCCCCGCCTCGCAAGGGCACACTGCTCTTCATGCGCATGTTGGCAGGGAGCAGGGAGATGCCCTGCCTCACATGGGCACACTGCTCTTCATGCGCATGTTGGCAGGGAGCAGGGAGGTTCCCCACCTCGCATGGGCACAGGGCTCTTCACGTGCATGTTGGCAGGGAGCATGGAGGTGCCCCGCCTCACATGGGCACAGGGCTCTTCACGTGAATGTTGGCAGGGAGCAGGGATTTGCCTGCCTCGCATGGGCACAGGGCTCTTCACGTGCATGTTGACAGGGAGCATGGAGGTGCCCCACTTCGCATGGGCACACTGCTCTTCACATGCATGTTGGCAGGGAGCAGGGATTTGCCTGCCTTGCATGGGCACAGGGCTCTTCACGTGCATGTTGGCAGGGAGCAGGGAGGTGCCCCGCCTCGCATGGGCACACTGCTCTTCACATGCATGTTGGCAGGGAGCAGGGATTTGCCTGCCTCGCATGGGCACAGGGCTCTTCACGTGCATGTTGGCAGGGAGCATGGAGGTGCCCCACTTCGCATGGGCACACTGCTCTTCACATGCATGTTGGCAGGGAGCAGGGATTTGCCTGCCTTGCATGGGCACAGGGCTCTTCACGTGCATGTTGGCAGGGGCATGGAGGTGCCCCACTTCACATGGGCACACGGCTCTTCATGTGCATGTTGGCAGAATCATGGAGGTGCCCCATCTCGCATGGGCACAGGGCTCTTCATGTGCATGTTAGCAGGAGCATGGAGGTGCCCCGCCTTGCATGGGCACACTGCTCTTCACATGCATGTTGGCAGGAGCAGGTAGGTGCCTCACCTCACATGGGCACAGGGCTCTTCACGTGCATGTTGGCAGGGAGCATGAAGGTGCCCTGACCCGCATGGGCACAGGGCTCTTCATGTGCATGTTGGCAGGGATCATGGAGGTGCCCCGCCTTGCATGGGCACAGGGCTCTTCACGTGCACATTGGCAGGAGCATGGAGGTGCCCCGCCTCACATGGGCATACGGCTCTTCATGTGCATGTTGGCAGGAGCAGGGAGGTGCCCCGCCTCGCATGGGCACACAGTTCTTCATGTGCATGTTGGAAGGGAGCATGGAGGTGCCCGAAGTGGTCCATGCACATCCATCCATATTTTTGCCCACAGCTACTACTTGCGAAGACCAATGATGCTTGTTTTGCTGCCTCTTAGGCTTACTGTCTGCCACTGTATAAAGAGGCGATCACAGTGATTTCTCAGCTGGTAGTCTGTCTGCAGCTGTTTCCCTAGGTGTCCTCAGCTATATCATTTTACATGTATCCTGCTTATTCTTAGATTACTTTTCTGACAGTGATGTCATCCATTCTGCTGTTTAACAGACATCATGTGACAGTGCTTTATCAGTGTCTAACCCTTGGAGTAGATATCTTTTTGATATCTGTAGATTAAAAGAATAAAAATCATCCATGGATGCCACACACACCATATTACAGAATTTAAGTGTGCAAACTCAAACATATTGCTTGACCTGCTGACTTGGTGGCCTGGGTGACCTGATCCTCTGTGCCTCAGTTCCACCTGTGGGAAAGGAGGAAGATAAACATACTTACCATTCAAGTGTGGTACAAAGATCAAATGAAGCAGTGGAAAAATATTTTGAACTGAGCTTGATACATAGTAAATACTGCATTTTAGCTGCAGTTGTTTAAGATTGCATATAAAATTACCTAGATTTACATGCTTTCAAATACTGTAGGAAATAGATTGTTCATTTGTCTTGCAGGATAGCTTTGATGTCAAGATGCTTTCATCAACACAACCTTGTTAATATTTAGAGAAGTACAATTTGTTCAGGATTTCTGAATTACTGGTAGATGCTGACGCTAGGTACTGCTTCAGTTCAGTTCAATAGCTCTGTCTTGTCCAACTATTTGCAACCCCATGGACTGCCGCATGCCAAGCTTCCTATCCATCACCAGCTCCCGAGTCCTACTCAAACTCATGTCCATCGAGTTGGTGATGCCATACAACCATCTCATCCTCTGTCGTCCCCTTCTCCTCCTGCCTTCAATCTTTCCCAGCATCAGGGTCTTTTCCAATGAGTCAGTTCTTTGCATCAGGTGGCCAAAGCATTGGAGTTTCAGCTTCAGCATCAGTCCTTCCAATGAATATTCAGGACTGATTTCTTTTAGGATGGACTGGTTGGATCTCTTTGCAGTCCAAGGGACTCTCAAGAGTCTTTTCAAACACCACAGTTCAAAAGCATCAGTTCATCAGCACTCAGCTATTGTTACAGTCCAACCCTTATATCTATACATGACTACTGGAAAAATCATAGCTTTGACTAGATGACCATTGTCAGCAAAGTAATATCTCTGCTTTTTGATATGCTGTCTAGTTTGGTCATAGCTTTTCTTCCAAGGAGCAAGCATCTTTTAGTTTCATGGTTGCAGTCACCACGTGCAATGATTTTGGAGCCCCAAAAAATAAAGTCTGTCACTGTTTCCATTGTTTCCCCATCTATTGGCCATGAAGTGATGGGACAGGATGCCATGATCTTAGTTTTCTGAGTGTTGAGTTTTAAGTCAGCTTTTTCACTCTCCTCTTTCCCTTTCATCAAGAGGCTGTTTAGTTCTTCGCTTTCTGCCATAAGGCTGGTGTCATCTGCATATCTGAGGTTATTAATTATTTATCCTCACAATCTTGATTCCAGCTTGTGCTTCATCCAGCCCAGCATACTGGCTGATGTACTCTGCATATAAGTTAAATAAGCAGAGTGACAATATACAGCCTTGACATACTCCATTCCTGATTTGGAACCAGTCTGTTCCGTATCCAGTTCTAACTGCTGCTTCTTGACCTGCATACAGATTTCTCAAGAGGCAGGTCAGGTGGTTTGGTATTCCCATCTCTTTCAGAATTTTCCACAGTTTGTTGTGATCTACACAGTCAAAGGCTTTGGAGTAGTTAATAAAGCAGAAGTAGATATTTTTCTGGAATTCTCTTTTTCGATGATCCAGCAGATGTTGGCAATTTGATCTGTGGTTCCTCTGCCTTTTCTAAATCCAGCTAGAACATCTGGAAGTTCATGGTTCACATACTGTTGAAACCTAGCTTGGAGAATTTTGAGCATTACTTTGCTAGCGTGTGAGATGAGTGCAATTGTTTGGTAGTTTGAGCATTCTTTGGCATTGCCTTTGTTTGGGATTGGAATGAAAATTGACCTTTTCCAGTCCTGTGGCCACTGCTGATTCTTCCAGATTTGCTGGCATATTGAGTGCAGCACTTTCACAGCATCATCTTTTAGGATTGGAAATAGCTCCGCTGGAATTCCATCACCTCCACTAGCTTTAGGAAGTAGCCATCATAGTCAACAAAAGAATCTGAAATGCAGTACTTGGATGCAATCTCAAAAATGACAGAATGATCTTTGTTCATTTCCAGGGCAAATCATTCAGTATCACAGTGAAAGTCAAATTCGCTCACTCGTGTCCAACTCTTTGCAACCCCGTGGACTCTACAGCCCCTGAAATACTCTAGGCCACAATGCTGTAGTGGTAGCCTTTCCCTTCTCCAGGGGATCTTCACAATGCTATCACAGTAATCCAAGTCTATGCCCCAACAGTAATGCTGAAGAAGCTGAAATTGAATGGTTCTAAGAAGACCTACAAGACCTTCTAGAATTAACACCCAAAAAAGATGTCCTTTTCATTATAGAGGACTGGAATGCAAAAG